AGCCTTGATCTCCTGGACTCAAGTCATCCTTCTACCTCAGCATCCCAAGTAGCTGGGACTACAGGTACATGCCACCATGCCCAGCTATTAAAAAAAAATTTTTTTTATAGAGATGAGAACTTGCTGTATTACCCAGACTGGTCTTGAACCCCAGGGCTCAAGCAATCCTTCCACCTCAGCCTTCCAAAGTGCTGGGATTGCAGGTGCACCTGGGCCTGATTTGGGTTTGGGAGGTAGATATGGGAACCAATACTTTTTAAAATTCATCCAGAAGAGTAGATACATTAGAATTTCTAATATGTTTTTGTAAAGGGAAACTAGTGCATATATCTTTTATCTAACAGTATGAACACCAACTATAGATATGGTTATCACAATAATATGATGCTGGCAAGGGAAATAGATGGAGAGATAAGCGGTACAGAGATGAATGGAATGGAGCCATGCACATGCAGGAGCCCAATCCATCATAAATGCGACATATCCAGGTGGTGGGGAGGAGGATTTAATACATGGTATGTGCATGACGACTTTCTGGAAACAGACTCACTGCATTCCACATTCAAGATCACATTCCAGATGGAATACAGATCTAAACATAAACACACATCATGAGAGTAAGGAAATCTAAACATTGTATCTTTTTTCTTTTCTCCAACTTTGGTTAGCATCAGAGTAAAAATCGTGGAGTTTTTTTGTTTGTTTGCATGTTTATTTTGTTTGAGTCAGAGTCTTACTCTATTGTCCAGGCTGGAGTCCAGTGGCATGATCATGGCTCACCACAGCCTCGACTTCCCGGGTTCAGGTAATTCTCCTGCCTCAGCCTCCCAAGTACCTGGGACTATAGGCATGCACCACCATGCCTGGCTAATTTTTTTTTTTTTTTGGTAGAGATGAGGTCTTGCTATGTTGCCCAGGCTTCTTGAACTCCCAGGTTCAGGCGATCCTCCTGCCTTGCCCCCCTAACGTGCTAGCATGAGCCACCATGCTTGGCCTGTATTTTTAAATTGTTAAAAACCAGGTTGGGTGTGGTTCCCAGCACTTTGGGAGTCTGAGGCAAGAAATTGTCTAAGCCCTGGGATTCGAGACCAACCTGGGTGAGATCTCATCTCTACAGTAAATTAAAAAATTAGATGGGCATGGTGACATGCATGTGCTTTCAACTACTTGGAAGGGTGAGGCAGAAGTATCATCTGAACCCAGGAGATTGGAGCTGCGGTGGCCATGAGCGTGCCACTGCCTTCCAGTCTGGGGAACAGTGAGACTCTGATTCAACATAAAAAATTATTAGGCCAGGTGCAGTGACTCAAGCCTGTGATCCCAGCCTTTAGGGGGCCGAGGCGAGAGAATTGCCCAAGCCCAGAGGTTCAAGACCAGCCTGGGCAAGTTGGTGAGACCTCGTTTCTGCCATAACATAAAAAAATTAGCCGGGCGTGGTAGCACACGCCGATAGTCTGGCTACCTGGAAGGCTGGGGCGGAAGGATCGTCTGAGCCCAGCAGGTCGACTCTGGAGTGGCTGTGAGTGTGCCACTGCACTCCAGCCTGGGCGATGGAGTCACATTCCAACTCAAAAAACACAAAATTATTAAAAACCACGGGGGCTGGGTGCAGTGACTCAAGCCTGTAGTCCCGGCACTTTGGGAGGCTGAGCTGAGAGAATTTTCTGAGCCCAGGGGTTCGAGACCAGCCTGAGCAATTTGGCGAGACCTCATCTCCACAATAAATCAAAAAATTAGCTGGGCATGGTGGCATGCACGTGTCGTTCCAGCTACTTGGAAGGCTGAGACAGACGGATTGCCCAAGCTCAGCAAGTTAAGGTTGCAGTGGCCGTGAGTGTGCCACTGCACTCCAGACTGGGCAACAGAGTGAGACTCCGACTCAAAATAAAACAAAACAAAAAACCACTGGAGTTCATAGTCCATATATGTGATGAGTTAGTTTAATGGAACCCCAAACTGGGTGAGTAGATCTCAGCAATTTTTTTTTTGTAATATAGAGTTATCATCTCCAGTATCTCCTTGACCTGTCTCTGTCCCTTGGTGTTTTGGAAAAAGCATCATTCTCCGGTGGGGGCATGCTGAACAGCCCCTGAAGATAAGTGGACACACTGCATGTACCTTCTTGGCCAAATGATGTTTCCCTCTGGGTTATCATTACATCTTGGTGAGGTCTGCTGCAACCTACCTGTGTTTGCCTATCCATCTGGCTTGATTAAGTCACCAGTGCCTTTAGCAGAACAATGGAGTTCCCTCTTCTAGTGGTTGGCAGGTAAAGCTGAGTGACCAGCTGCACCAAGATGTGTGGGGGAAGCTCTTGGGGCTTTTTTGTTTTATCATTTGGAGGCAGAGTTAGCAGACCCAGGATGGGCTGTGTGGCCAGGGATTGCTGGGTCTGCTAACTCTGCCACCTCAAGAACAATTGCAAAATAGCTCTGATGTCATCATGGCTCAGATCCCACTTTGTAAACAGTCACCAAATATCTCTCATTTATGATGTCATGGCTGCAAATCCACCTTGTGAACAATCACAAAAATAGCTCTCATTGATGCTGTCGTTGCAGGGACATGCCTTCTTCCTTTTTGCACACTCATTTGTCTTAGTGGGCTTTTTGGCTACATCTCCCTGAGACGTCAGTGCGTAGAATATTGGGGAAAACTGATGTCCATGGCAAAATGAGCCTGGAGAAAATTGGGATAGAAAATTGGAAGCAGGTTGGGTGCGGTGGCTCACGCCTACAATCCCAGCACTTTGGGAGGCCAGGTTGAGAGGATTGGCTGAGCCCATGAATTCAAGACCAGCCTGGGCAACTTGGCAAGACCTAATCTCTACAATAAATCAAGAAAAATTAGCTGAGCATGATAGCGCATGCCTGTAGTTCCAGTTGCCACCATAGCCTCGACCTGCTGGGCTCAGGAGAGCTTTCCACCTCAGCTTTTCAAGTAGCTGGAAGAACAGGCATGTGCCATCACGCCCAGCTAATTTTTCTTGATTTATTGTAGAGATGAGGTCTCGCCAAGTTGCCCAGGCTCAGGCAATCCTCTCAACCTGGCCTCTCAAAGTGCTGGATTATAGGCGTGAGCCACTGTGGCCGGCCTAGCGACCCCCAACTCAAAAAAAATTAGGATTTTCATGAACTGTATGGTGTGTGGAAGAGTCCCACTGCTTCTGAGCCCCAGTGGGCGAAGCCTAGGCTGGAAGTTTCTGTTACTGCAGCAGGTGCACAGGGCAGAGCTGGCAGGGGGACCCAGGGAGAAGAAGCTATGCCCCATGGCTCACCTAGAAATGTGAAAGGGAGTTGTGTGTAACAGAAGCATTTTTCAGGTTTTCTTTATATGACCCCAGTTAACCGAAGCCTTGTAACTAGGATGTGAACCATGAATTAACATCTATGGGGGGGGGATAAAAAAGGAAAAGGGTGGGAGAGAGGGAGAGAGGGCAGAAGGTAGGGGGGATCTCTCTCCAGTCACAGGGCTGTTTTATGGAAAGGGATTTCAGTGCCCTCACAAGCTCTGTCTCCCCTCTCTGTCTCTGTCTCTCTCTCTCCTCTCCTCCCTTTGTCTGTCTCTCTCTCCTGCACTCTCCCTGTCTTTCTCTCCTCCCCCCATCTCTCTTACGCTCTCTGTCTCTTCTGTCTCTGTCTATCTCTGTTCTCTCTTTGTCTCTCTCTCCTCCCCACTTCTGTCTCTCTCTCCTCCCTTCCCTCTGTCTCAGTCTGTCTCTCTCCCTCCCTCCCTCCCTCCTTCCTTCTTTCTGTCTCTGTCTTTCCTTCCCGCCTCTGTCGCTCTCTCTCTCCCTTTCTTCTCTTGTCTATGTCTCCTACCCTCCCTCTGTCTATCTTTTCCCTTCCCTCTGTCTCTCTCAACAAGCCCTAATGACAGGGTCTGTGCTCTTAGAAATGCGGAGGCCCCTGAGCTGGGGCTTTCCTCCTGAAATCAGCAAACGTGCATTTTGAGGCCTATGAAAGGGGTCCTATGAACCAGGGACAGCTGCTGGGTTCTGACTGGGTCACAGGGGTGTCCACACAGGGCACGTTAAACATTCAGTGTTGTTTAAGAGGATGAGGAAGAAAGCAGGGTATTTTTTTTTAAAAGAATACTCATATTTAATAGCTGTTCCGCCTTGAGTGGCATTTCACATCAATTGAAGTACTGAGAGGTCAACTCCCAGTGGCCCTCACCTCTTGTGACCGTTGCCTTGTGTGCCTGACTGCAGGGCCTCACACCCCTCCGCAGAGTGTCTCTCACTCTCTCCTTCTCACGAGCTGTTCCCTTTAAGGACCGACTTCCCTCCAGAGGGAAATTCCTGAAACCCAACAGTTGACAAACCCACACACCCTCCGGAGGGCTGGGCACCAGATAAAAAGCCCTCTGCGGTAGCCCAGCCCCTCCTGGGGACGGCGGCCAGGGGACCAGCAGAGCACAGGGACCTGCCGTCAGGGCCCAGCAGAGCACCGGGACCTGCCTCCAGGGGGCCCAGCAGAGCGCGTGGGGACTTGCCTCCGAGGAGCCCAGCAGAGTGAGGGGACCTGCCTCTGGTGGCGGGGGGACAGCAGATGCGCCTGCCCCACTCTTTCGGCCCTACCATGGTCAGCTGTGCCCACAGTCCTGAATGTCAGCGAACTAGGGGACTCTGCACCCAAGGAAAACAGGTTTTCTAAGTTTTTCTGGTTCTCAGCTCTCCACGGAGCGATCTATTTCTGTCTCTCCTTTTGGGAAATGCGCTTTGCCCGTGACTAATCCCAGCCCATGCTGAGATTGCTATCACCTGTCACCTGCACAGTTCGACCCAAGCCCATCAGGGAAATGAAGAGATAAGCCCGCGGCTGCAGCCCCAACCTGCCAGGGTCACCCACCTCCCTGCCACGGAGCAGCCAGGAGGTTTGCTGCCTCTGTTACCAGGACCATCTCTGTCCTTGCCGTGGGCCACTGGCATGTGGCCATCACAGTGACCTCCGGGGGCCCCAAGGCCGCCCCTGAAGGCCATTGCAAGTATCTGAGGAGCAGCTGCCACCCTGCAGGCTGAGTGGAGCCCCTGCATGGAGCTTGGGACTCAAGCCCCTCATGTCTGCCCTGCTGATGCTGTGTGTTGTCCTCCTGTCCCTGGTGACCCCCGGCCAAGCCACCCAGCCTTGGGAGCCCTGCACAGGTACAGCAGGGATGCCTCTCGGGGGAGTGGGGTGGGTTGTTGAGTAGCAAATGCCACTGTCTAACATTGATTCAAGGTCACTGCTGGGAGGACCTGTGGTGAGCACCCTGGGGAGACAGGTCGCAGTGGGAGGGGCGCAGATGGGGAAGATTAAAGCTAGCAGCACAGGTAGGCACAATAGAAATGCAGCTCTTTCGCACGCCAGCAGGGTGGGGACGTGTTTCAAAGAGTTAACAGCAGCGATCAGAGGCCGTGCACAAGTGCTTACCTGCTTGGCCTCCTGGGGAAAGGCCTTACACCTGCGCTAGGAATGAGGTTGTGGCGGCCCAGCAGGTCCCCGAGAAGGAGCCATTTCCTCAGCCCATGGAGAGACACCCCCGGCCTGCACCTCACAGAGTGAAGGGCCATCACCAGGCCCGGCTCTCTTTCTACATATTGAGAAATGTGAAACATAGGCACCCCCTTTCCCCCACCGACCCTGGAGTCAAGAGCAAGGCCCCTTGAGGGCTTAGCCTTGTCCTGGTGGGTAACGTGGAAGGGTAGCTCACCCAGTGGGTAGCAGCAAACTTGGAGGAAACTTTGGTCCCACCTTTTTAGGAAGGTCATTTGACTTGCTAATGACCATGATGGGTTTTTCTAGAGTTTTTATCATGAGACTTGACTTTTCAAATCAAAATTTGAAAAGCAAAGTAACAGGAACACTAGACACTAGAAACCCGATTGTAGGACAGTAAGTGAGTGACAACGGCACTCAGGACGTGGTCAGGAGATTAGGGCAGTGTGACTGTGTGACTGAGAGGGAGGTGAGGGGACAGCTGGATGTGTGGTTCTGGCGACACACCAGTGCCGACCTGCTGGGCTCTGGCAATGCTTCTGCCTCAGTCTTCCAAGTAGCTGGAACTACAGGTGCACGCTACCATGCCTGGCTAATTTTTTATTTATTGTAGAGATGAGGTCTCACCAAGTTGCCCGGGCTGGTCTCGAACCTGCAAATTCAGGCAATTCACTCGGTTCTGGTTTTATTTGCCAACTCCCATCCTTGGTTCACTGGAATGGTGAAGTCCACTCTTTGGACTTGGCTGCTGGGATGGCACTGGGTTTCCAGTGACATGAGCCATGGTGATCCAAGTTTGGAATGCTGACAGCATGAGTGCTGGTGGTGGGGCAGGCCATAAATGACCCCAGCCACCCTGGAACAGCTGGGCTGTGACGCCACACTGACCCTGTGCCATGGGGTGGGAGGTGGGCAGGCCTGGGTGCCTGCTGCTTCTCTGGGGTCCTGGTGAAGCTGCACCTGTCCGCAGAGACTGTCCTGGAATTGGACAATTCTGCAAATGACACAGGAGTCAAGCCAGCTTATCGTGGAGCAAAATCCCCTGACTTCATGTGACAGAAGGTGAGTGCCAGCCTTTCTCCCTCCCCTGCATGGGGACCCAGGGCGGCCAAGCCGTGAGCTGCCATCCTCAGCACCCAGCAGCCCTCCCTGATGGAGGATGAGTCACAAACATGTATTTTCATGTTTTCTTCAGTGCTGGGAACGGAATCAACCAACATAATCATAATAAAGGATATTTATAATGCCCGCCCCCTCTCCCCTGAAGGTATATTGCAAATAGTTAAAAGATGACCCAGTTATAAATACCACTAACTAGGGAGGAAAGATAAAAGTCAAGTAAATAATATTGACCTGAGTTTCGAATGCTCCCAAGAGACTTGCATAATGGTCAGCAAGGGTTTCCAATTGCTTTTAGAAATCACTCTGATTCCATTTGACTTTGAAAGGCATATGTGTCCTCGCCATGGGGCTGTGTGTGTGTGGTGGGGCACACCTTACTGTGGGTGAGGGCTGGCTTGGCTGCACAGACTTACATTCTAAGTCCTGCTCCCACATCTCTGATCACTGACAAGGTGGCATGAAGTCATGGCTGGTGGCTGACATGTGGTCATGGGCAGTTGGGTCCACTGTGACACACACCTCCTTTCTCTGGAGGGGCTGGGAGGGGCCATTTGCCTTGATTTCCAGCACTTGTCCTGTCTCTTTGACCTACTGGACGCTTCCCAGTCCTTAGTTTGCAAATCCGGAGACTGTCAGCTTTGGCGAATTGTGGGCTAGGACCTGCAGGTGTCCCCAGTTCCGTGGGTGGCAAGGGGAGAAAGGCCATCTTTTTCTACCTCAGCAAGTGGTACCTGCATCAGAAGGCGGTGTGGAAGCCAGTGCGGCCAGGAGTTGAGAGAACAGAGAATGCAGCCTCCAAGGGACAGCTCATGACAGGCCTGGGGTGGGATACAGGTGCAGGGACAGTCCAGGAGGCCTGAGGGGTAGAGCTTGTTGGGACTCGAAGTGGACCTCTTCTGCCTGACTTTAGGTGGAACTGGAAAGCAGGAGTCCTGTCTCCAGATGGCTGAGGTGGGAATGGGGCTGGGAAGGGAGACTGCAGGTGCTGAGAAACTGTGGTCATTGGGTACATTGATTAACTATTGATTAGCAGACCAATGAGCTGTTCAACCATTAATTAGCATATCAATGACAACTCATCAATTGAGTAGCATATTAATAATAGTTCATATTGATTAGCATATCAATGAATAGCCCATCGATCAATTGGCATATTGATGAGCAGTTCACCCATCGACTGGTGTGTTGATGAGAGGACAGGCTCATGACTCCTGGCCCTCTTGCAGTAGTCAGTGTGACTGGTTTGCCAGTGGCGAAACAGATTGAATGTCTGACTAGTGTCTTGTGTATTCTCTCTCCTGGACCCTCTGCTGAGGAGTGGGGCTGGGTGCTCATCCTCTGCACAGGTGCATCTGGAGAGGGGTCAATCCCAGTACGTGGTCAGCATGAAGTTGGCCAGCTGGGAAGGCAGGAGGTCCAGGAAGGAGAGATAGTATGTGGCACGGACCCTGCTGGGGAGCAGAAGCAGGTAGGGCTTGGGTGAGGTAGGCTCCCTTGGGTAAGTGTGGCAGGCAGGATTCCAAGGCGAGAAGCCTTTTATGAGCTGCTGGCCTGGCCTTGAGCTGTGGGACAGTTGGTTCTGGCAGTTGTAGGATCGTAGGCTGACTCCAGAACCCATCAGTTCTTCTGATCCAGGTGGGATGTCCCCTGGTCTGACAGCTCCTCAGCCATCCCTGAGCCAGGCCCAGCTGCTTTGGTCCCCAAGGACTGACGGGCAATTGGTGAGATCCTTCTGATTCCTTTAAGGAGGTCATGATTCTGGGTGCAGGATGTGGTGGTGCCAGGGAAGACAGGGCAGCATTCTGGCATGGGCTCTCATGGAAGCATGTGGGGCTGCCACGAAAATTCACCATCTTGTCGCCCTTTGGCACCCCTCATCTGTGACCCAGCTCTGGGACAGGAGGCTGAGGGGAGTCTGAGGAGGCGTCTGACAACAACTGACCCCAGTAGGCAGGTCGCTGGTGGGCTTTGGGAAATGGGCAGAGAGGGGACAGAGACTGGGAGTCACAGGATGGTGGTGTCTCTTACATTGCATCTCTGTGTCAATGTCCCCTGTTACCCCTGGAACAGTCAGGGGTGAGGTCCTCCTGCAGGACTCAGCCTTGTCATGGCCTTGGGCCCTGGTCTCTGCGACATGGTATTCCTTCATTCCCTCCCCCTTCACTCACTCAGTATCTGCGTAGGAAGGCTGCACTGTGCCAGGGGTGTGGCAGCCGCAGCCAGAGGCCCCCGGGATTGCAACTGGGTTGCACTACAGCTCTGCCCAGAGCCGTGGGCTGTGCAATTCCCCCAGCAGGAGGCGCCAGGCAACCTGGGGAGCAAACATGCAGGGTGGGTACTGCAGGGGCAGAGGCTTTCAGCAAGTGGAGGGACCCCTGGTTGGGCTGAGAGAGGAGTGGGAGTGGGTGGGAGTGGTGGGAGCCCTGGGCCTGGGGGTGGATGAGGTACATCCCAGGAGCTGGAGAAAGTAGTCTGCAGATGACAGGCAGGGATTTGCATTTTAAGAGATTGCTGGGGGCCGGGTACAGTGGCTCATGCCTGTAATCCCAGCACTTTGGGAGGCAGAGGTGAGAGGATTGCCTGAGCCTATGGGTTCGAGACCAGCCTAGGCAACTTGGTGAGACCTCATCTCTACAATAAATCAAAAAAAATTAGCTGGGTGTGATGGCACATGCCTATAGTTTTAGCTACTTGAAAGGTTGGAAGGCTGAGGTGGAAGAATCATCTTACACCAGGAGGGTGAGGCTGTGGTGGCCATGAGCATGCCACTGCACTACAGCCTGGGTGACAGAGTGAGACTCAAATTCGACAGGAAAAAAAAAGAAAGAAAAGAAAAGAAAAAAGAAATCCTTGGATGGGTGGAGGCAGTGGGAAAAAGCTGGGCTGAAGCCTCTTTTGCCATTGTAGAAGGTTTCCAGTCCCCTCCCCTCTCCGCTGCTCCCAGGATCTCCCTCCTTTGTACTTCATTGCTGGAGGGAGTGTGAATCTGGGGAGTCCTGGTCCTAGGCGAGGTCCCTGTGCCAACGTCGCCCTCTCTTGGCCACCACATGCTGCCTGATCAAACGTCTATAACATCCTGCAGTTAGGAAGTCACTTATTCCTGGCCAGTCGGCTGTCCTCTGTCCTGGCATGGCTCCCACTTGGATCAGGAGCCCTCAGCCTCCTACTGAAAGCAGCAGGCAGGATCGGTGAGCGGCTTCCTCTGGGCTCCACCCCCAGGTCACTGGGTGCAGCAGGCAGCTTCGTTGGTGAATGGGGGTGCTCGCTGGGTTGGGAGGGCCCTCCGTGCCCCCGGGTTCTGGGATGGGGTGGCAGATCAAGACTGACAGGCCGCCTTCACCTTCTGGACCAGGGCAGGGGAGCCCTTGGCAGGTGGGGACAGACATAGAATGCACCCAACACTCCTGATGCTTGGGACTTTCCCCATCATTTACATTTATTTAGTCCATCCGCGTTCTTTTCTTTTCTTTTTTTTTTTTTGAGTTGGAGTCTCACTCTGTCCCAACACTCCGGGTGCTTGGGACTTTCCCCATCATTTATATTTATTTAGTCCATCCTTGTCTTTCCTTTCCTTTCCTATTTAGTCCATCCACGTTCTGTTCTTTTCTTTTTTTTGAGTTGGAGTCTCACTCTGTCCCAACACTCCTGGTGCTTGGGACTTTGCCCATCATTTACATTTATTTAGTCCATCCGCCCCTTCCCTTCCCTTCCCTTCCCTCCCCTTCCCTTCCCTTCCCTGTCTCACTCTGCTCCTGGCCACCTCAACCTCCGCCTCAGCCTTCTAAGTAGCCGGAACTACAGGCGCGCGCTACCACTCCAGGCTAGTTTTTGATTTATTGTAGAGACGACGTCTCGCCAAGTTGTCCGGGTAGGTCTCGAACCCGCGGGTTCAGGCAATCCACGCGTTCTTAAGTGAGCGATCCCCATCAGCAGAGGCTCACAGGCCCTGCCAACCGCGTCGCGGAGACCCCACCTCCCCCTTGCCTCTGTCTCCGAAAACAAACTTCAGAGTTAAGACCCCTCGTTCCGCCCACACCTCCGTTCACTCACTACTACCAGGAGCAGATGTCACCGACACACTCGTTTCGTGTTTAAATGTCTTAACTCTAAGGCCAGGACATTTTCTTCCACGCAGAAATCAGGAACAAGGCACATCTCTTTGGGGCGAAGCCACACGTGGCTCTAAGGTCTGCCTAGAGGGAGCCGGGGACCCCCAAGGCGCTCTTTCCGGGGTCAGGCTGGAGGCAGTGAGTGCCGGTGTGGATCTTGGGCGTTAAATTCCGGGTTTCCAGCGGAACACCCGCCCCCTCCTCCCCACTCCTGGACGCCCCCCACTCCCTAACGCCTCCAGCACCAGCCCCGCGCAGCGCACGGACCTGCACCTCCGCAGCCCGCCGGGCCTTCGCCTCCCACCCCACCGCCCTCCAGGTCTCCACTCCTCCCGGGTGGATTTCGCGCTCGTGGCTTAGAGGTGACCTCCGTGTTGGGTGGGAGCCGCGGCGGGAGGGCGCGGCGGGGGCGCGGTCCTCGGCTTCCTCCCCTCCAGTCCTAACCTGCGCCTTTGCCTGAAGGAACTGCCCCCTCCAGATTCTGCCTCCCCCGCCCTGAACGCCCGGGTCGGAGGCTGGGGGCGCTCGCCCGGCTTGCCAGCGACCTCGCCCGACCACGCACACCGCTACGGATCAATGGGGTGGCCCCCCACCCCCCATCAATGTACCCGCGTCTACACTGATTCCCCACACCCCGACCCCCAGCTCCACTAAGAAAGCCAGGCCGGGAGCTGGGGCGGGACGTGAAAGTCGGCACCTTGCAGTCAGTGCTTGTTCTGGGAGGCGCTTGGGGTGGGAGCGGGAGCGGAATCCCCTCTGCCACGGGCCGTCCTACCTCCAGGTCCGGGCTGGACGGCTTTGTCCCGGGCGGGGCCATCCATGCAGGGTGCTGCGCGGGGGCTGTGCAGGGGGCTCCCGGGCCGTGTAGGGGGCTATGCCGGGGGATATGGCGAATCCCAGCTAAAGGCACCGTGGGCGCCGTCGGGGTGGAAGAGGAAGAGGAGAAATGCTTGCCAGGATCCAAGGGGCCCCAGGGGTCCTGCAGCCAAATTAGCCGGCACTGCCTCTCCCCCACCTCTGGGGGAGTTAGGGAGGGGAGGCTCCCCCGCCAGCTCCCTCTGTGGCAGTCAGTCTCACAGCCTCCTCTGTGAAATGGGTCGACGTCTCCGCCCATCTTGCCCGCGAGGTGATGGCGGGGAAATCGCCTAGGACATGCTGGTGGTGGTCTGAGTGCGGGGGTGCTGGGGAGGAGATCAGTCTACATAGCCGGGGAATGGCAGTCTGTGCGTGAGAATGTGTGTGTAAAAGTGTGTGCTTGCGTATGAGTGTGAAAATGTGTGTGCTTGTGTATGAATGTGAGTAAAAATGTGAGAATGTGTGTGCACATGTGTAAACATGTGTGAGGGTACATGCATATACATACGTGCATGAAGTGTGTACATGTAAATATATATAAATGTGTGTGCATGTGTGTATGTGTTAATGTGTGTGAATGTGTGCATGTGTTAGGGTGCATGTGTAGAATGTGTATGCGTGTGTAAATGTGTGGGCATGTGTGTGCGTATTTATGAATGTGTGCAATATGTGTAAGAACGTGCCCACATGTGTGTGAAGGTGCATGTGTGTGAATGTGTGTGTGTGTGCATGTATGTGTGAACGTATATGTGGGCATTGTGTAAATGTGTGTATGTTTGAACGTGTGCATGTGTGTGAATGTGTGAATATGTTTAAGAATGTGCCTGCATGTGTGTGTGTGTGCGCATGTGTGTGTTGTGAGCATGCTGGGAAGCCAGAGCACTGCCTTCCATCATTCTTTTTCCCCAGATGTATTTTCTGGAGTCTCTGCTGTGTCCTGGTGTTGTTGCAGAGCAGGTGCTCCCCAGGGGTGCCCTCTGCTCCTAACACACTGGATTTCATGTCTGGGGGTTGGAGACCAAACTTGGGGAATGCCAGGGAAGGGTCACCTGTTGTTGGGGACAGGCTTTTCCCTGAAGTCCTGTAATAGGACGGAGCATCTAGGCAGGGTCTGCATTTCCCGCTTCTTCCTGGTCAAAACTGCCTTCCCTGCCACCACACTTTTGCCCAGGGTTGCTGGAGGAGGTCAGGGCTTTGACCCTGGTGGGGACCACTGCATCTTTGTTGTCACCACATCTTCTCAGTGATGGGTATGGAAGCAGGTGCAGGGTGAATTCATTACCAACAAAGAGTCCTCTCCTGGTCCCAGGAGTAGAGTTGTGGGAACTTGGTGCAGGCCCACCAGCGAGAGACACACCCTCCTGTGGGTTCAGCCATAATAGAAAAGCCCTGGGCTTGCCAGGCACGGTGGCTCAATCCTGAAATCCCAGCACTTTGGGAGGCCGAAGTAAGAGGATTGCCTGAGCTCAGGGGTTCAAGATCAGCCTAGGCAACTTGGTAAGACCTCGTCTCTACAATAAATAAATAAATAAATAAATAAATAAATAAATAAATAAATAAATAAAATTTAAAAAAGCCAGGTGTGATGGTGCGTGCCTGCAGTTCCAGCTACTTGGAGGGCTGAAGTGGAAGGATCGCCTGAACCCAGCAGGTCAAGGATGCGGTGCCCATGAGTGTGCCACTGTACTCCAGCCTGGCGACAGAGTGATACTCCAAATCAAAAAATCCCTCTGATTTTAAGAAATAGATTCCTCAGCCGGGCTCGGTGGCTCAGCCTGTAATCCCGTGTCTTTGGGAGGCTGAGGTGAGTGAATTGCCTGAGCCCGCGGGTTTGAGACCCGCCTGGGCAGCGAGACCTCATCTCTACAATAAATCAAAAAATCAGCCGGGTGTCGTAGCACATGCCTGTAATTTCCGGCTACTTGGAAGGCTGAGGCGGAAGGATCGCCGGAGCCCAGCAGGTCGAGGCTGCGGTGGCGGGGAGCGTGCCACTGCACTCCAGTCTGGGCGACAGAGTGAGACTCCAACTCAAAAAAAAATCCCTCTAAGAAACAAAAACAACAAAAAAAAGCCCTGGGCTCATTGATCATTTGATTTTGCACCATTCCATTTGCCAGTGGTCACCAACCTTTTTGGCATCAGGGACCAGTTTTGTGGAAGATGATTTTTCAATGGATGGTGGTGGGAGATCATTAGGTATTTGATTCTCATAAGGTGTGTGAAACCTAGATCCCTTGCATGAGCAGTTCACAATAGGGTTTGCACACCTATGAGAATCTAATGGCGCTGCTGATCTGACAGCAAGCGGGACTCCACTCATCTGCCACTCACCTCCTGCTGTGCAGACTGGTTCCTAATAAGCCATGGACAAGCACTGCAGCTTAGGGGTTGGGGACCTCCCATTTTCCACCCCACTCATCATCTCCCTCTGAAGTCTGATGGTATGTGTTTTGCATTCAAAACCACATCTCTGAGACAGTCCTGGATTTTCCCAGCCAGCCAGAGGGGCTGTAGCAGACAGGCTCAGGGCACCTAGTTTGCTCTCTCTGGGGGTGGGGGTAGCCTGGCAAGAGAGCTGGTGACATCACAGAGGAGGAAAACTCCCCATGGATGGGCCCTGGGACGAGTCCCAGAGTCTATGGTCCCTAACAGCAGGAGGTCTGGGCACAGAGGGTCCCCTGGGAGAGGGGTGTGGGAGGAGGCAGGGTACCGAGTGCTACTGTTGCCATCCTGAGACCATCACTGGGGATCCTGGAAGAGGGGCTCTCATGCTAGGCTGGGGTAGGGCCTGCTGCTGCCTTACCCACCCTTCCGGGTATGGTGCCAGGCCAGGCAGTGTGTGCCAGGGTCGCCTGAGGGAGGCTGGAGACAGGAGGGGAACCTGGGAGGTGGCACCTGCTCTGTGACCTCCTGTGGGGACTGGCCAGAAATGTCCCAAAGAAACAGCAAAACATTCCCAGAGTCACACACTGGGGAGTTTATTAGGTTTTCCAAGCCTGGCGTGGGCCAAGAAGGAGCACTGTGGCTTCTGAGGAGATAGGACACCATGGAAGTGAGACCACCATGGCCTGGATTGTGGAAGGAAGTCTCAGGAGTGAAGGCAGTGGGTGGAGCAGGATCACCTGGGTCTACAGGAGTCCCCAAGGTTGGGAGAAGGAGAGGCGTCCATCTACCCCAGAAAGGCACAGACACTGAAGAGGCCAAGAAGTCAGCCGTGGGAGAGGTAGGGCAGCCATAGTGCCCAGGAAGCCCTGGGGGACGGGCTTGTCAGCATGTCTGTCCTCAGCAAGCTGGTCAGGAGCATGAGGGGCGACAGAAGAGGGACACACAGGAGGCTGGGCGGCAGCAGCTGGGCTGGCAGGAGGTGGCAGGGGCACAGCAGGAGGGGACAGGCACGCAGCAGGCGGGCCTGTACATGGGGCGGCAGAGGAGAGACACACAGGAGGAGGGTCTGCAGCAGGAGGAGGGGCAGCAAACCAGTTGGCAGCCAGACTGCTGGCAGCAGGAAGAGGAAGCCCCAGAGCAGGTGGGCACACAGCAGACAGGCTTGCAGTAGATGGGCTTGCAACAGACAGGCACATAGCAGGCCTGCTGGCAGGGGGAGGAGGGGCAGCAAGCCGGCTGGCAGCTAGACTGCTGGCAGCAGGAAGAGGATGCCCCAGAGCAGATGGGCCTACAACAGACAGACTTGCAGCAGATGAGCCTGCAGCAGGCAGGGACACAGCAAGCTGGCTGGCAGCTAGGTTGCTGGCAGCGCGAGGGAGTGCAGGAGCTGGTGCAGCCTGACTGGCAGGGACTGGACACACAACTCACTGGGGTGCAGACCAGCTTCAGGCAGGGGGCTGGGGCGCAGCAGCTGGGGACACAGCAGGTGGGCTCGCAGCAGCTCTCTGGGCAGTCATCCGCCTGCCAGGACTCGGAGCCAGAGTCACAGGACCTGGGCAGGCAGACCCGGCTGCCATAGCTCAGGTCGCTGGAGCAAATGGACATGGTGGCTGCGGCCATGCTGGAGGTTGAGCTGGGAGGGTGGAATGAGTGAGGGAGTGAGGGAATGAGGGAGTGTGAGGGTGTGAAGTGCTGGGCCATGGGGCTTTTATACCCCTGTGTCGTGTGTTGTCCCAACAGAGGATCCTGTGTTCTTCCTCGTTCCGTGTTGGTGTTGGAGTTGGCTCCCGAGAGCCCTCATTAGGGATGGCTTGTTTTCCCAGAAGTTGCTGCTCAGCTCGTAAAGCCTCGGTTGTGTTGGGGCCCGGTGGCTAGTCCGGACTGGGTCTGCTGAGTGGGTGGGAGGGGGGAGG